TGTACCACGTATTAAATTAGTTTGTTTAAAATTTAATTACTGTGTGTGTGTATATATATATATATATATAGTCTTTTGTCTGGTGAAAAAAGTTTCCCTGGAACCTAACTCCCTCATTTACATTAATTCTTATGGGGAAATTGGATTCGCTTAACATCATTTCGCTTAAAGTCACATTTTTCAGGAACGTAATTACAATGTTAAGTGAGGAGTTACTTTAAGGGCATGATTTTGCCCCTAATATTTAAAAGATAATGACATAATTTAGAGTAAAGTTGTATTTATAGTGCAGTCCATTATGATCCATTATACTCTGAGCCACATACAGCAAGGAGGAATGTGATAGGACTTGCAAACTGCGCTCAGCAGCCCAGCAATTTGTAATTTAGTTTCATTGTATTGACTAGTTCCCAATAGCCCATTGTATTTTAACTAGTACAATCAGTGACTCGTTTTTAAAAGGGGCCTTGCACAGAGGGACAGTGATGGGAAAAGAGAAGATCTATAGAAAAAGTGATTTTTGTTAATTGGTTGGTAATTTTTGAGTTTCCTTTGCTGTTATACCTAATTGAAAATCTTTGTGTTTGAATAACAGCTTTCTCCATCATAAGGATTTTTGTTTTTCTACTTTATCTTGCAGTGAAGTCATAATCAGGTATTCATGACATTGCAGTATGTTACCATGGAAATAATGTGCTACAAACACATCATTTTGGATTTCTATGGAAGCTTTAAAAAGATAGGGAACCTTATTTTTAAGCATAAGCTTATCAGGGACTGCAGCTCTTGAACCCTGGTCCACTAGGAGCTAGTAAGTTCCAACCTGTCACCCACTAACAGTTGCCAGAGTAGAAGCTGAATGCCAATAGAGGATACCACTCCTGGAATCTGATTGGCAGAATGCCGGGGGTCATGATTGGTTCATAGTGCCTATATAAAGCTAGCACAGGAACAGGAAGTTGTCCATGTAACTGGGATCTCCATACTTAGTACTGCTCTGGCTATTTGGTACTGATCTCCTGATAACTTGACCCTGATTCTTGGTTTGCTCTCTGGCCTGTCTTGAACTCTGATCTCCTGGTAACCTGACCCTGCCTGATAGCTGACTCCTGTTTTTTTCTCGGGCCTGTCTGGGACTCTCTCTGACTCCTGACTCTCAGTTTTGCTCTCTGGCTTGCCTTGGACTCTGACCGCCTGGTATTTCACCTGGCCTTGCACCTGCTCTGACCACTAGGTCAGACTACCCAGGCCCCTGTCATGACAAAGTTTCAATATGAATCAAGAGAAGTGACGGACAATAATGAAGAAAACTTAAGAAAGATACATGTTTTCAGACAACACAATATTTCATATAATAGTTTGTCAAGTGTTAAAGCACTTTGAAATCTTGCTATTCAGGAGGTTGAGCCGCTCTG